GCAGCCGTGGCTGCAGTGACCACGCGATGGTGGAGCTCAGTAGCCTGAGAGAAAGGAGCGAGGCAAAGAGCAGGATCACAGCCCTGGACTTTGGGAGAGCAGATTTTGCTCATCAGGGATCTGCTTGGAAGAGCCCCCCAGGACAGGGCCCTGGCGAGAAGAGGGGCCCATGAGAGTGGATTCATTTTGAGGGCTCACCTCCTCCAACACCAGAACAGCCACCCAGATAGGTGGAAGCCAAGCAAAGGTGGCAGGAGGCCTGTGTGGATGAACACAGAGCTCCTGGCTGGACTTGGATAAAAAAAATTAATCACACAAGAGGTGAAAGAAGGGAGAGGTGACCCGGGAGGAAGACAGCGATGCTGTCTGAATGGGCAGGGATGGGGCTGGGAAAGCCAAAGCCCACCCGGAGCCGAATCTGTGGAGGCACAAGAAGGCTTCTAGAGGTGGATCAGTAGGAGGAAGACTGGGGAGAGCGTGAGCCAGCTACTGACCAGGGCAGGGCCAAGGCACCCCACGCCACCTTCACCTCAGTCATCACTGGCGAGCTCTGTGTCCAGCGATCCCCAGCCCCCGAGATGAGGAAAGTCTGCAGGAAGGGAGATGTCCCTGCGGGGAGGAGCAGCAGCTCAGGGAGCGCCTGCACCGCCCGGACAGGCACAGGGCCCTGGGAGCCGGCGGGACGCCCTCATGAGTGCTGAGGGAGCTGGACAATGTCCCGGCGAGGCTGCTGCTGGTTATCTCGGAGGGATCAGGGGACCAAGGGGGGTCCCAAGAATGAGGAGAAAGCAAATGTCACCCCTGCCTTTGGAGCCAGGGACCCATGGGTCGGTCAGCCTCACCTCAGTCCCTGGGAAGGTGATGGAGAAAATAATCCTGGAGACCCAGGAAGGACAGAGGGTGGCTGGGAGCAGCCAGCAGATTTACAAAGGAAAAATTACGTGTAACCACCCCGGCAGCCTTTGGTGACGTAACGGCCAGCTCTGAGGCCGAGGGAGAGCCATGGGTGATGGCTATGGCTTTGGACGCTGCCTCCCACCCCACCCTCGCAGGCAAGCAGACGAAGGACAGGCAATGCTAGGGGACGGGTCGATACCGGGCGTCAGGCTGCTGAGCTCCTTCACCGGTGCCTGAGGTGCCAGGGCAGCGCCTGCCCCCAGCAAGGCTGCAGAGCCGGGGGTGATGCCCCGGAGGGTTGTGCTGCCCTTGGGAGGGACTCGCCAGGCCGGAGGAGGGGCAGGCAGGGACCTCCCCACGCTCCCGCAGGGAAAGGCAAAGTCCTGCTGTGGGGGGGAATAACCCTGCAACCGCACAGCCTGGGGCCGGCGGCGGGAGAGCGGCTCCGCAGAGACAGACCTGGGGGTCACTGTGGGCACTGAGTTTTGTAAACTGACCCAGGGGACTCTAAGTGGGGTCTCCCCTTTTCTCAGTTTCTCCGTTTCCTGAACTGACTGTTCTTTATTCCAAGCTTTTACCTTTCTCCACCCTCAGAATTTTCATGGTGGGAAAAAAAACTAACGGCTTTTAAGATACATGATGAACGCCTGCACATGGCCCCTGGTTACGCTGTGCATCTCTGCTGCACAATGTGATGGGCGCTAGAAATTCACCTCTGCTCAGCGGTGATACAAAAAACATGGAATAAACCATCCATTAAATATTGCTTCTATCCCTGGAAAGTCCTGGAGCCCTCTGGATTTCTGGAGGGCACTGGGGAATAACTTCCTGATCTGGGTGTGTGTGTGCTGGCTGGGCCACCCAGGGGTGACGCACAGCTGGGTCATGAACAAGGAGGAACCTGTGAGCTGGGGATGCGATAATGTACGCCAGCCGTGTCCGTAGTGGCCATGAAAGAGTGGAGTTCATGATCCTGAGGGGAGGAGAGCAGCAGAGCACAGACCCTGGGCCTCAGAAGAGCGGATTCCGGCTAATTCGGGGCACCAGTAAGGGGGATCCTGCCGGAGACAGCTCTGAAGGACAAAGGTGCTTAGGAAAGGTGGTAGTTTTTTCGGGACAGCATCCTCTGGTGGCCAGAAGGTGGGGAGATGGACAGACGTACCAGGAGATCAGCTGGCTGGGAGGGAGCTCACAGGGAGCTCCACTGCAGAAAGGAGCGGGTGGGGTGGGAGGGTCGCTCTGCCCAGAGGTGGGGCTCTGGGAGGAAAACCACCAGAAATGGAGGACGATCAAGTCGGGGATCTCCTGAGAAACACGACCCATGTGAGCCCATGGGACCCTGAGGGGCAGCACCCAAGGGTGTCGAGGGTCATCTCTGTCATCTCCAGAAGGTGATGGGGAGGGAGGGGGTTGTCCCTGATGGGTGAGGAAAGGCAAATGTTGCATCTGTTGTTAAAAAAGACCATTCAGGGACCGAGAGGCCCGGCAGCCCCACCTGGAGCAGGCTTCTGGAGGCGCGAACGAGAAGAAGGTGACTGGGGGGATCGCTTGCATCTGTCTGACTGCTCAGAGACAGTTCAGCTTGCTAACCCCGCAGAAAACCAGCGAGTCTCCCTCCCCATCCGACTGACGTGCCCACACAGTGCCGCACGGCATGGGCACCGGGAGCACTCCTGACAGCAGCAGAACGCCCGCCACGCTTCAGGCTGTCGGATTAACCACAGGCTGTTCCCTGCCAGCTCCAGCAAAGGGGCACAGAGCAAGCTACACCAGCAACCTGGGCCTGAAAAACTCGTGTATTTGTTCTCGCGGGGTTGGTGTCAGCTGGTTCGGCACGCTCCCTGACCCAGCCTGCGGCCGGGCGCAGAGAAGCAGCAGCGTGCGCAGCAAGTGCCGAGGAAACGGGGGGAAGAAAGGAGCCAAGGGAGCCACCATCTCTGCTGGCAGCCTGGCCCTACAGCAGCCTAAGCCAGCAATGAAGCTGCGCCCGCAGAGAGTGGCTGATCACAGGAGGAGGGTGCGGGGGTTCCTGGGGAAGCCCAGGGCTGGCAGGAAGCCTGGCACTACTTCCACATTTCCTCAAACCACAGATTCCCAGGGAATGCAGCATCTGCTACAGAAGCGTTGCGCACTTCTCTGCTTGTACTCTTCCCTCAGCGTCTGCTGCTGGCCACCACTAGGGCCAAACGGGGTGAGACAGGCTGTCAGTCCGATCAGCTCTGCCATTTTTACCTTCCCAGCAACCACAGCAGAAACAGGGAAAAAAATATCCCATCCGTTACCGGAGAGAGGCATGTGGCCAGTACGGGTCACACAAATGTCCTCAACTCACAGAATTCCAGACCGCTTGAGGCTGGAATCCTGCATGGCAATCTGGCATGCGAGGTCTGGGGAAGCTGAGCCCACTACAACCAAGCAGGTTTTAATTATGGCTAAGTACAAATGTACGAAGGTCCATCCGGGAAAGAGGAGAATCCCTCCTGGAAAGCAGTGCACAAGCAGTGCTACAACAGCGAGGACAAGAAGCCAGGGCAGCTGCAGGAGGGACGCGAAGGGACAGGAGGCACAAGAGGAAAAGGAGCCCTGCTGCGAAGCAGGACACCGCCTGTGGCTCAGGAGTGTGGCAGTACCTGGCACGGCCAGGGCCCGGCCTCTGCCCACCCAACAACGAGCGCGGGGCGCTCCTCTTG